CCATCCAAAATTGCACTATTATTTCCATAGCCAGGTAATGCAATGGGTTTGGAAGCTCCCGCTCCAGCCCAGCTCCATGGGGAGGGCCGTGGGGCAGCTCCGGGGGCTCCAGGGGCAGAGACAGGCTGTGCACCCACCGACCATCCTAACCCTGAGGGGATCGCGCTGTCACCCAGGAATAAATGACCAACTTGAGGAGTGGGATGGCCTGGGAACAGGGCAGGGCTGTGCGCACACACACACATGCCGCCGCGGTATGGAGTGGTGCAGGAAGGGGGGGCACAAGCGTGGGCAATGGCACCCCTGCTTTGCTATGGGACCATGGAGGGGGTGTGTGCACATATATATGTGTGTGTGTGCGTGCACACACTAGGGCCAGGAGCCGTCAGCTGCAGCGTGCCCTCACGACACGGCAGCAGATGCCTGCTGACTTGCAGCATGAGCCATTTCGCAGCCGGCTACGTGCCCCAGTACTTGCTTGTCATCACTCAGCACTCCAGCCGAATGTGGAAGAGAGGCATTTACTCTGTATAAAAGGATGCGCAATATCAAAATCCTCTTTATAAAAAAAAAAAATTTGCAACGCAGCACTAGAAAACCCTGCATCCCAGCTGCAACCATCCTCCCCCACACTCCCCTTCTGGGTTTGTTTTCTGCTACCCCTTTATGTTGCCATTTAGCATGTCTCTGCCTACAGAATGTAGAAATACATTCTTTTTTTTTTTTTTTCTTTTCTTCTTTTTTTTTTTTTTTCTTCCTTTTTCAAAACTCTTCCATGAATTTCAAAAAGTTTTCCCTGCTGTTAAAAGCCCTGGCGTCAGCGACGAGGTGCGATGTGATGCTCCGGGCTGGGCGGGCAGCCAGCGCCTCACACATCGGTGCTTATGCTGTTGCGGGAGAAGGCTTCCCGCATGGCCGAGAGCCGGTTGGGGTTGAGTGCCTGCAGGTTGGCCACGCTTACCGGCAGATCGAGATCTTCCTGGCTCACCGTCTTGTAGCTCACCCGGTCACCCCCGTTGTGCAGCTCCTCGGGGGGCTCCTGCAGGAAGAAGGTGGGGGGCTCGTACGGTGCGCAGCCGGGGCAGCCGGGCCGGCTCGGTGTTGGCTTCTTGCCGAAGGGGGACGAGGTGTAGAGGGACGGGCCGTTGGTCAGCACTACGTTGCGGTTGCAGTGGAGCGGAGGGATGTGGGAGTGCACGGCGAAGTCGGGCTCTTCCTCATCCTCCTCAGACTCATCCTTCTTGCAGCAGTAGTACTGAAACGGGACGGCCCCACGGGACCGAGGCTCAGCTGG